TAAGAAATATTGACTCTGGTCTTTATGTTAACTTAGAGAAATAATGAAAGATGCACACGAAGTAGAAAAATATGATTTTCGGCTACTGAATTCCCGGCTTCCATTTTAAAATCTTTTATAAAACATTATTTTAACCAAGTCATTTTCGTAACTACGATGTTGTTTGGTTGATAAGGGAATTTAATTCTCATGGGAATTTGTATTTCATGGGAATTAAATACCTATATCTAATTCCTAGGAATTGTCTAAACTTACTTGGTTAGGATGAAGGAAGTTGCAAATCATGGGAATTTTGAGTTACCTAGGGAAGGTTAGGTAATTAATGTCCCATATTTGTGGGAAGTCACAATTCCCATGAATTTGTAATTCCCCCATTTACACTTTTTATTGTCAACCAAACAACTCACTCATTTGCAAATTCCCATGATTTTTCACTTTCCCCATTATTATTATTATTATTATTATTATTATTATTATTATTATTATTATTATTATTATTATTATTATTATTATTATTATTATTATTATTATTATTATTATTATTATTATTATTATTATTATTATTATTATTATTATTATTATTATTATTATTATTATTATTATTATTATTATGACGTATTCAAGTCAAAACATAATTAATGTTCATAAAACGGGTCTGAAAATACGGGGTATTACACATTTTTTGAATTCATTTTTACCTTGTCTTTATATTAAAAAAAAAACTTTAATACAACCTTCTAGTTAGATTGGAATTTTATCATGTTTAGTGGTGTTCAAAAATCGGTCCAGACCGAAAAAATGGATCACTGGACCGAATTAATTGGCCTAGTCTTCGGGTCTAATTTTTTTTCCCGGTCTTCGGGCCGGTTCAAAACCCTATGAAAACCGGTCTTGGATCGGACCGATTTTTTTATTAAAAATGTGCGTGAAACCTTAAATAATGGTTTAGATTATCCTTAATAATCTTAGAAAACTCTAATTTATGACTTTTTTTGTACTAAATACACAAAAAAAGAAGTTAAAGTGTAGATTTTCTTTACTTTTTTTTTCAAGTTTTTCGTTAAATTATTAAAAAATATTAGAATTCTTTTTAAAAAATTCTTAAATCGGTCCAAAGCGATTCGGTATGGGTTTTGGACCGATTCTTTTGGTCCAATCTAGGATTGCTCCTAGCTTAATCGGTCCGGTCTTCAGTTTTTAAAATTCTAATTTTCGGTATTAGGTCCGATCCGAGTTAGTCTGGTCTGGTCCGGTCTTAGACCTATGATAATCATGTTTACTCTTAAAGCCTATTAATCATCCCTTCAATAATGTCCATTTTAAAGTTGAAATGTGTTGACTTAGAAATCATTTGAACACATAAAAGTATATATCTTGGTTTAAAATTTTACTTTTCCATTACAATTTATTACATTACAATTTATTATTTTTGAAAGACATTTCTTAAGGAATTAACTAAATTAATTATTGTCCCAATAAAAAAAATATTTATTGTGTAGCTTTTATGAATACGATAGTTATTTATGAAATCCTTAGAAACATAAATAAAAAAAATCTAGTATTATATTTTCCGTTACATTTTCATTATCTTGATAATAACATATATAAAATGTGTCAACATCTTTATTTAGAGTCAGGATTTCTACGTTACCCAATATGATTATAATATTTATATGCATACAAGATACTAATATAAAAAAAATTACATACTAGATTTACATGGAATTAAAATTAATTAAAATAGGAATTTTGTTACATTACATGAAAAAAATTACATGGAAATAATTTATAAATTATTTTTATTATGATACTGTCCAATTATAATGCTGGAGGTTTTTAATCAATTTTAGTGTATTTTCAATTCTGTTTTAAGTTTGTTATTTCTGGGTTTTTAGAAAGCAATATTTTCTTTTATGAATGAGTGGTTGTAATGTGTTTGCTAATTGGTTATTAAAGCAACTGAAAGTTGTAATTGAAAATTAAAAAATGAATTACAATTTTATCTCTCTCTTCTACTTCTCTCTGATTCTATCTTTTCCTTCTTGTTTTTTCTATCCTATTCCGCTTCTATCTATGCTGCTGCATTCTTCATCCCCTCTCTAAAATTGAGTTCGATATCGACAATTGAGGTATGTAGGCGTCGTTTGAAGTGCGCTACGTTAGGCATGTATGAATATGCTTAGAATTATTAGAAAGTGGGAATTGACATATATGATTAGGGACAACGATTAGTGTAATACTCCGTACTTTTATGTATTTTTATAGAGTATTTAAGTATTTATAAAATATATTTTAAGGGCTCACGTATTTTAATTAAATATTTTAAAGGGTTAAAGTATTTTAATTATAAGGTTTTATAAAAGTAAAATATATATTTTGGGTCAAACGCTTACTAATTATTGGGCCTTGTTTAAAATATTGTATATAAACTATTTCTACATACTCTTATTGAAAATATCCATTTCATTTAAATAAGCCCAACCCTTCATTTGAACCGTTGTGGGTCAAATGTCTTATAATTCAAGCCCATTTATTTATTAAGCCCAAACCTACTCTATACTCTCTACTCTATAAATATCCCCCAAGACCCCAAAATTTTTTCACACAAATAGGCCAAAATCAGTTTTTGCCATGTAAGTATTTATTTATTCTTTTTCTATCTTTTCTTTCTTTTTCTTTCTCTTCTTTTTGGTTCATGCGTGAACAACATCACGCAAGCAAGCAAGTTGCTTGCCTTGTTTCTTGACTTTGCCACCTTGCTGCCACGTCATGCTGCCGGCCTACCGTCGGCCACCACCCATGGTGGTTTCCTCTTCTCTCTCCTCGTTCTTAATTTAATTTATGTACTTCCTCCGTTCTTTTATTATTGCACCACTTGCCTTTTTAGGAAGTTTCACAAATATTGCACCATTTCTTCTTTAGGAAAAAAAATTATTTGTGTTCACAATATAAATACCCAACATACCCTTGTTTTTTCACACTTACTTTTTAATTTATCAATATGACACAAAGGCAATTTTGTATTTTTACCTTTCTCTCTCTTACTTTTTTCTACTACCAAAATATTTGCACCCAACCCCTATGGTGCAATAATAAAAAAAAAACGGAGGAAGTATTATATATTTTTGGGTATTGATTTTTGATTGTTAAATTATGACTAGTATATTTTTTTATTGTGTTTTGATGTTTAAAGATTGTAAATTTTATATTATAATTAAACTGTTTAATTTTCAGATTTTATAAAGTATTAAAAGTTAGGGTTTTTATTATTAAAGTGTTGATTTTTAGGGTTCTAACTTACAATTGATTTGGGGGTTTTATATACCCATTGATTCTAAGTGATAATAAAGCTTAAAGATTGTATCTTTATGGAGTTTTGATGAAGATTTAATGGGTTTTTGATTAAATTATAATGCTGGATTTTTTCCAAAGTACTACTTTTGACGGTTTTAAGAAAAGGGTTTAGTTACCCATTAATGAGGAGTTTAATTAGGGGTTTTAAAATAATTTTCAGATTATTTGTAGTAGTTTAAAGTGAATTTAAGTAGCTGGAAATTGTGTATACAAAGAGAAGTAATATAGTGTTATTGTCCCTTTATGTAGGAGACTTGATTCGGGAATTGTTGTAGTGTAATCGCATACTTAAGGGCTGAATTGAGGTACACACGCGTACTTAGAAATTTATTAGGCGTGTAGAAACATGCTAGGTTTTGCTTAATTGATTCCAAGTTAGTGTCATGCTAGGAATTTATTGGAATGGTTGAATTGAAATGAGATTGGTGATTTGTATTGGGTTGATCGAATTGAGAATGGTTTTGGTGAATTATTTGTGAAGTATGATTGGTTGAAATAAATTATTTATTGGACTGGTGATATTGGAATATTGTCATTGAACTTTATTTTTATTATTGGAATGTTGAAGGTTTATTTAATAAAACTAAATGTTTAATTTGGTTTAGAATATTGAAAAGGAATTTTATTATGGTTCATACAAATTTTATTGATGTTTTAAGCATGAGGAAAGAGCTATTTAAGTGTCTTTGTACACGAGGGTTAAATTATATTTTGGTGCTTTGGCGCTTTATACGTTTAAGGTGTCTTCGACAACGAGGTAGATTTAAAAAGGGTTTAACATTAAATATTATGTGGTCACTAATTATTCAAGAATTAAATTGGTATATTTGATTGTTTGAATAATTATTGTTGGTTGAATGATATGGATTGAGAGTCATCACCAAGTCTAATAATATGTAAATAACGTAAAGTGAAAGAAATTACGCACCAAAACTCTTGGAACGTATATACCTTGAGTATGGACATATAGGGGGAGTTATGGGGTTTTATATTTAATCATAACTTCTACTGGAGTACAGGACGCTGTACATTCCTTTTATTATTATTATTATTATTATTATTATTATTATTATTATTCTTATTATTCTTATTATTATTATTATTATTATTATTATTATTATTATTATTATTATTATTATTATTATTATTATTATTATTATTATTATTATTATTATTATTATTATTATTATTATTATTATTATTATTATGCGCAGGAATTCCGCCACTTACGAGTGGTTATTTGATGCTGGCACTAGGGGTGGCAAAAACTGACCCGACCCGAAAACCCGACCCGAACCCGACCTGAAAATAGCGGGTTTGGGTTGAGATTTTCGACCCGAAAACTTAAATGGGTTGACACGAACCCGACCCGAAATTAAATAGGTTAGGTTAAGGTTGAAAATCTCAACCCGAAAATGACCCACTTAACCCGAAATTATTTTCGGGTCAAAATCAGGTCGGGTTCGGGTCGGGTCAATCCGAACCCAACCTTAAAAAAAAGTCTTACAAAAAAAAAAATAAAAAATAAAAAAGAAACTAAAACTACTACTAGGCCAAGGCCCCAAACCCCAAGCCCAAATCTTTAAACAAAAAAACCGTAAGTGCCTTATATTGAGCTTGAAACCCTAACACTCACTCTTACTCTCATTCTCTCAGCCTCTTATCTCATCTCAGCCGTTTTCACATTTCCCTCTCTTAAAAAATTTCATTCTCAATTTCTCTGTTTCTCCTCAAAACCCTAACCCTAAATCGGTTCAAGCAATCAAGCTTAACGTCTCAGCTCTTAATAGATCAAAGGTAATTTTTAACTTTTAGTTAATTGTTTTTGTTTTCGTTTCGGTTGTTTTTTTCGATCTCAAGTTCTCTATATTCGATTTTTTTGAATGATCTCCAGTTCTCCAACTTCTCCTCCAAGCCGTCATCTTAATATGCCTAAGATTTTTGTTCTTAATTTCTATTTTTGATTTGTTTTTTTTATGGGAAAGGGTAGATCCGTAGATCGATAGATTTGTTGTTGACTTGTTGTTTAATTTATATTTCTGTTTTCTTTTTCTAACATTTGCAAATCAGATATTAAGATTAACATTTTCTGTTGTTGATTTGTTGTTCATATCCTCAACTACACTTTTCGGTTGATCTGCAATTCTCCATCTTCAAATCTTCCTCTACTTCTAAGGTAATTTTCTGTTTTACTTTTTCGTTGTTTTTTTTTTCAAATTTTTTTTTTTATTTCAGTTTTTGTATTCGATTGTGTTGATGTTCTTGGTTAATAATTGTAATATGATAAATTTTTTGTTGATTTGTTGTTTGACGAGAAAAAGTATAGTGCATGTCTTTTTAATTTTTGTTTTTTGCTGATTTGTTGGTGATTTGTTGTTCTTGATTTTTGCTGATTTGTTGTTGATTTCTTGCTAATTTTTATTGCTTTCTTACTGATTTGTTCTTGCTGTTTTGGTTGTTTTTCCTGAGATGTTGCTAATTTGTTGTTCTTGCTAATTTGGTTGTTCTTGAGTTGTCTTTTTAATTGTTTTATTTTGTTATATTTTTTTGCAGCAGTTATGGACACCCATCAACCCCTTGTACAACAACTTTCTTCTGGGAATATGAGAAGATTCAGGAGATTGTAACTTTAAATACATTTGTTTCTTTTTAATTATGGTTTGTAATTTGTTAAGACTTTATTTTGGTATGTAATAGTTAATTAGGCATTTAGACTTCTTATACTTTATTTGGTTTTTATTGAAAATTTAAGTTTGAAAATTAAGTTTGAAGACATTAGGTAAAAAAAAAATCAGGTTTTATTAACGGTTAAGTAGTCAATCAGGCTAAAAAATCAGGTTATTCAAGTAAAAAAAAATAAATAAATAAAAAATCATGTCAAATCAGGTCGTTTTCAGGTTGACCCGAACCTGAAAATATCAGGTTCAGGTTGGGGTTTTCAACCCAAAAACTTAAATGGATCAGGTTCAGGTTGGGGGTTAGCTGATCCGAAACCCGAAAACCCGAACACGAACCCGACCTGACCTGATCCGTTTGCCACCCCTAGCTGGCACGGTTAGCTCCCGTGTTAGTAACCCCATTATTGGGGGAGATTATTTGGGAAATCCGTTCGATGCATAATCAATACTAAATAAATTATTTAGTTGTCTAGTTAAGAAGTTTTTGTTGAATGTTGTGTGCTTGTAAATAGGTGCATTGAGGTAAGTGTGTGTTGATAGGTGAAGGCATGTTAGTGTGTTTTATTTACGCTTATGTATTTAGCATTGCTGATTGTGTGTTTGTATGTTTGTTTGGCCTTGTCTTTACTTTGGCCCTACAACGACCCATTTCTAATGGCGAATAGTGGGGACAAGTAGAGAGGAGTTTTTCAGGTGATGAAGCATATTTGAGAATGACAACGGATCGGACTGTATGGGATCCGACTCCGATCCGCAACACAATTGGACCTGAAATCCGAGTCCAACTCCGAATCCGACTCCGAGTAGCTGAGCTCCGAGTCCGACTCCGGTATCTTCTGCGACCTCCGAATCCGAACGATAATGATATTAAATTTTCACTTTTTATGAATCCAAATTATTGAAGACTAAATTAATGTATAATTGCAAACAAACTTTCAATAAAATTATACTTTATATAAATTGAATCAATTTTAATGAATATACAATTATGAAAATAACAAAATGAACTCGAAAAAAAAAGAAAAGAAAATTACAGAATGAATGATCTTAGATGTAGAAATATATACTAACACTACTATTAATTTAAAATGGCATAATTCTTTGCTTTCCCTCAAATTTCATCCTTATTAATGATATGTTCATTTTATATAGTATTTTACCCCCGTCCCTCGGTCATAATTTGTAGTGTTTTTGGCTCTTTAGAGCCACTTTTATTACTGATTGGTGTTTTTTAGTGTTTTCGTAGTTTTAATTGAGTTTTGTAGGAAATTGCACTTTTGGAGCATTTTCCTAGGATTTTATGGAGCAACTACGATCATTGGAGATGCACGACCATTTTTATAGCCCAGGGCCGGTTAGAACCATCGAACCAGTGATTAAGGGCTCGGTATATGTGATACCGGGGCATTTGGACCAAGTATTCAAGACCCGAAGAGGAAATCCGGATTGGGACGAAGAATCGGAGCCCAATCGAAGTCCAAGGAGTAGCCCAAGAGTGTCGCCCGGCCAAGAGAGCTCCCGCCCGAAGTCCAAGGAAGAGTGAACTCGCGCCCGGCCGGGCGCGAGAGAAGCTATTGCCGAAGAAAAGGCGGGCCTGATCGGGCGGTGCCTCGCCCGATCGGACGCGTGTCAGCATTAGGAGTTTGTGAGCGTCGTTAAGTTTGTTTTAGTTTAGGATTCTTGCTTAATATAAATACTTTTACGTTAAGCAAGTCTAGTATCTCTTTTTACACTTTCTTACTTATTTTCTTAGACTTTCTCTCTCTACTTAGCTTTTAGATTATTTTCTCTCTCTACACTTTATACTTTGTTCTTTGCTCAACTCTTAATTCCGATTTCTTTGGTTCTTTTCTCTTAATCTCAGTTATTTATTTTATTCCTTCGATCATGTCTTATTTTATTGCTTTGAATTGTTTAGATTTGATTATGTCTGAGTAGTTTCTTTTCTAGGGTTTGTGGGGATCCATAAATAATATGAAGGGGTAATTTATTGTTGTTGATTATCAATGCTTGATTATTTTCCTATTGATTAATTTAATGCTATGTGACTAGATTAGGCCTGATCTTTTATGCATGAGTTTGACAATATTGATTCGAGATTCGAGAGATGAGAATTGATGTTTAGGTCTAGTTTCAATAGGCAGGTTAATTTATAAATGGTTAAGTCGAGATTCGAGAGATGAGATTTAATACCGGTAAATTAATTCTATGATTGTAATACGTAGCGAAAGCCCTTTATGATCTGATTAATTGATGCATTGATGATGGATTGTTATGCTTTATCCTGGAATGTTATTTATTGGTGAACCTATGCCCTAGGTCTTTTATTCATTGATTTCCTCTACTTTTATTCTTCCCTACTTTTACTCTTAGTAGTTTAGTTATTTCGATTACAATATATTGGTTACTTTATAATTTAGATTGCTTTAATTAATTAGGAATAGAAAGACAAGTTTCCCTGTGGATTCGACCCTACTTCCCTATCTGCATTAGTTAGAGGATTTAGGTATTATTTTTTATTGGGTGATACGACTTTAGCCTGTCAAAAGTTGGCGCCGTTGCCGGGAAAATGGGTTTATTTTTATTTCTAATTGTTTTATGTAGTCTAGGTTATTTCTTTTTGTCTTAGAGAATGTTAGTTGTTTGAGGCAAGTCTCATATTTGCTTTTAGTTCTTTGTTTATGCCCAGGTGTTCCAGATCAGGCTATATCCCATTCGATCCTGAGATCGAACGATCCTTCCGTAGACAAAAGAATTTTTACAGGCAAATCCTGGCGGGTTCTGGTGATAATAATATTCGCCAAGACCCTCCAACTGATTCTAGCGATTCAGAGGTATCTTCAGATCCAGAATCAGAGATGGCGGTACCTAAGAAACTCAGTGATTATTCACAGCCAAAGCTTACAGATTTTCCACACCTTACTCCCACTCCAGCTCTTGATGGGGTACAATTCAAGATTAAACCTCAATTTATCACGATGATAGAAAGGAAGAAATTCAGTGGAGCTAAGGGTGAAGACCCAAATCTTCATATTGCAGACTACTGTCAGTATTGTAATACCATCAGGCAAGCTGGGGTCACACAAGACCAAATCAGGGAGATTCTCTTTCCTTTCCCTTTATTTGGAAAAGCCAAATTATGGTTTAATGGATTAAATAGAACTGCACTTGGTATAACTGACTGGGAAACTCTTGTTTTAAATTTTTATAATAAATATTATCCAGCAGAGAGAACAACTGTACTAAGGAGTGCTATTCATAACTTTGCCCAAGAAGCCGATGAAACTCTATATGAGGCTTGGGAAAGGTTCAAGGATCTTCAGAGAGAATGCCCCCACCATAATCCGGCACAATAGCAGTTGATCCAAGCCTTTTACAATGGGATTGGAAATTCATCTAGAATAATATTGGATTCTGCAGCTAGTGGGAGGTTTATGAACCTTAATGTTGATGATGCAGGTTAAGTTATTGAAGATATGGCAATACATAATTCCCAATATGGGAATCCCAGAGGCTTTGCTAACAAAGGGAAACATAATGTCGACTCTGTATCCTTTTTACAAGCTCAATTAACCTCTATTTTCCAGAAACTAGATAATCTCAGTAATGCAAATGTAGCTAATGTTTCTGCAATTAATACTAATGCTAATGAGGCTTTCTCTGAAAAGTGTGGAATTGTAGGTCATTGGGAGAAAAATTACAGGAGTTCCGTGGAGCAAGTCAATGCCTTTCAAGCTTATAGGCAGAATGACCCATACCAGAGCACCAATTTTCAAAATCCACCACCTCCACAAGAATCACAGGCGCTACAACAAACTCAGTAGAAATATTACCACCCCAATGTTGGCCAGAAGAACCAACCACAACAACCCTCATCTTCCGACCCTGCTTTGGTAGAAATTAGAGCGAGGCTGGCTAGTTTGCAGAAGCACATGGAGAGTAGAGATGCCCAAATTGATTCGATCATAGCACATAATAAAATTGTAGATAATCAAATTGCGCAAATTTCTGCTACTCTGCAAGCCCGTCAACAGGGAGCCCTGCCAGCACAGCCAACCAAGACTACGGATCAAGCTTTTACAATTACTCTAAGGAGTGGTTCACACTATGAAGGGCCCCCTATGCCCAGAGATGATGAACCTATTTTAATAAATAATGCTAATCTTGATTCCATTAAACCTGACAATGTAGCTAATAGCCCTGCAGGGCTAAAGAGTAGTACTAATATTTCTGATAATACATTGCAGGGTACGACTCCAGGGAAGGTAGCAGCTCCAGATAAGAGCAGCAATGCCCCAAAGCCAGTTATCAAACTTCCATTCCCCAATCGTCACTTGAAAACAAATTTGGATAAGCAATTTGGTAAGTTTCTGGAGATGGTTGAAGATTTGCAGGTAACAGTTCCCTTCACTGAATTAATCACACAAATTCCTACATATGCAAAATTCATGAAGGAAATATTGACAAGAAAAAGGTCTATTAATGAGGTAGAGACAGTAGCTTTCACTGCAGAATGTAGTGCGGTACTTCAAAATAAATCTCCACCTAAACTGAAAGACCCGGGTAGTTTTTCTATCCCTTGTCATATTGGTAATCTAATGATTGATAATGCATTATGTGATTTGGGTGCTAGCGTTAGTGTTATGCCATTGTCTGTGTGTTCCAAGCTAAATATGGGTAAATTAAAAGCTACTAATATTACTCTAAAAATGGCCGACCGTTCTTTTAAATACCCCTTAGGTGTTTAGAGGATGTTCCTGTTAGAGTAGGTAAATTTTATATACCTGTTGATTTTTTTTGTGCTTGATATGGCTGAGGATATGCAAACCCCAATTATTTTGGGTAGACCATTGCTTAACACTGTAGGAGCAATTATAGATGTGAGATGTGGCAAATTGATACTATCAGTAGGGGACGATAAAATTACTTTTAATATGAATAATACTCTTAAAATCCCTATGACAGAGGAGAAGTGTTTTAGTGTTAATGTGGTTCATAATTATTCTAACAAGCCCCAAGCTCTTGTAAAAGATCCCTTGGAGGCG